TGTGCATGTAATGGGAAACGTGATAGTCCTAGATAGACTCGAGGCTAATCCAGCCTCCTCTTGATCAGTGGCTCTTCCTGCACCCGCGTAATCCGCAAAACGTCATGCTTTGTACCAGTCTATTGAGTGTACTTTATTGGCCTACGTGGCAATCCTTCAGTTTCCGGTGAGACCACACCACGAATTCCTTCCTACCAACTTTACCTTCGAAATGGAGAGTCGTATCACAATGTATTAAACATTGTCAAATTGAATAATCTGATTATTTAATCTTTTATTAACATTTTATCTCTTATAATTTCTAGATGTTGATCTAGAGTTGATTCTAATACCTTCATTGCCTCGTATAACGGAATAATTTTATATATAGAAACTATATCATAACACAAATCTCCTCTTATCATCTGATCATCAACTAACTTTATAAAGTCATAAGAGTTCCTCATTTGGTAAAATCTATATGGGGAGACCTGCCGACTCATTCATAAGAGACTATGCGAACACAAAACCGCTTGTAAAGGTCTGTGGGTCCAAAAATCTGAGCTGTCTGAACACATGGCCAATACAGGACACTGAATATACACGCACAACGTTTTCTGGGCTACAGGGACTTCACTTCAAATCGTAAGATTAGGAAGTCTATATGAATTAATAAAACAGCCAACGTCCTTAATAGAAAAAACGAGTGTAGATAACTAAGCAGAAGCTATATGAGATGTATTCGCCCTATTTCGTTTAGGATGAAGAAGGACTAGTAGTAGAATTTTCCCACAATGATATGAGTAGAGCTGAATTTTCCATTACATTTCACAAAGCCTTGCTTTCCCAAAAGTATAGTTTACACGCTGCACTGTCATGGTTTGAATCCCGCTTAGGGTTTTGATAAGACCTATTCAAGGTCGAAACTATACCCTGGATAAGAACACTTTTTGGAGAAGCAAAGCTATGTGAATTTAAATGGAAACGTCAGCTCTACTCATATCATTGTGGGAAAATTTTACTACCAGTCCTTCATCACCTTAAACGAAATAGGGTGAATACATCTCATATAACTGATTTCGAAACTCTACTTATATACGAAAAATAGGTAGGAACTATTTGTGACTGTTGGATAGACTTAAGAAAAGGGTTAAAGAGATAGTGCAGGAAGAGCTACTGAGCAAGAGGAGGCTGGATTAGCCTTGAGTCTATCTAGAACTATCACAATTTCCATGCACACAATAGACAATAGCACAAGCCCAAATATGCTTCAACATTAGATAATCGTATGCTAGTTTGTGTATGTGTGTGTGTGTTTATATATATATATATATAATGAAACAGTTGCCACCAAAAGCACTTCCGGTTCGGGAAGAAACTTTACTTGTTTGTAAGCATGTAGACTAATATTGAAGTAGCCAACCAAATCGGTTGCAGGACCGTGAGCCAAGGACTTGTTGGCAGTCTTCCCTACGCGGCAATCCTCCTTCGGTTTCCGCTGAGACTACATCACAACTCCTTCCAACCAAGTTTCCCTTCGAATTGGGGAGTCATGCCACAATCCTTCAATTATTCCAGGATTTTAAGCCATAATACCTTTATTTTTTCATATTTTTCCAAACGTTTGCCCAAAAATGCAGGACGACTACGCAGCCTTCAGATCCTGATTTTGGACACCAATGACTTGCATCAGCTGCCTGATGAAATCGGACAACTTCACCTGCTTGAGAAGCTTTATCTTTCCAATAACCTCCTCAGCCAACTTCCCCCCAATTTCAGTCAACTGCAGAGACTGAAATGCTTGCACTTGGCAAACAACCTGGTATATTGGGTTTTAGTTGTGTATATTTTTCCCATGACAATCTCTTATAGAATGATTCTTTAGGCTAAACAGTTAAACGCTAAGCATCTCGCCGGTAAATTAAACTATCTTCTATACTCTAACTAAGTGGGTATCCCACTATAGCAGGTGGCATTTTCTCTATTACTCATTTTACAATAGACAGCCTTTCTGACGGTCCACTACTCGAAGCTAGAATCGTACTGAGATTGGCGCACCATTGGTCATTTATTGCCCGAGTAAATCACATTAATAAGAATCAATTTTTGAGTATCTTCCTGAATTTTTAAATAATGCCTCAACTATTCATTCTAAGGTCAATAAAGTGAATCCCATACGTAGCAAATACCAAAATAATTTTCTAGACACTATTATTTTACGAAAGTTATGAATAGGGAATTTGATTTGGCTTTAATTTCAACGGACTCCCTAATCTTCTGCTTATCTGTTAAACCTCAACTTTCTGCAAAACATTAGGTTTTAAACCACTCTATCTGATGCCCAACCAAATTATGAGATGCCCCATTAAGGTATAAAAAGTTAGTCAAATTTCATTCGGCCTCCTTTCTTGGTTTAGTGTTTTTTGGTGAATGTTTGTAAATGATGCTTTCTGGCTCTGAATACGTTCGTCACATGACGGATGAAAGCTTAGCCTGTGCTCATCGGGATCACAGGACGATGAACCGAGGCCTATCTCGTGCAATCCAGCATTCATAAACCCAAGGCAATCCTTCTTCAGTATCCGGTGCGGCCAATTTATGAATCCTTTCCACTTACCTTTTGAAAACGAAATGAAAGATATGCCAGCATCAATCTATGAGAAGATTCTTTGAAACCCAGATTTTGCCTATATTTTACAACCAATTAAGCTTTAAGTCCATTCTAGCTAGATCTGCCACCTCTGCTACTAGCGGAAGTATGGCTGACCTTGCTACTGGCCTCCACGGCTGATTTGTATGCGAAAATATGAAATCATGGTCAATATAATGTTAGTTTGCATACAGGAGACGGCTTCCACCACATTGTCTAATTTTCCGCATTTTTCTTTATTAGTTATAATTACCACGCATCCAATTATGGAATGCTGAAATCATCCATCCGAATTTGCGTTGGAAATCGAAGTAGTCGTGCTACTCGCAATAACTTATACCCGTAAACACTTCCCATACTCTACTTTCTATGCTATTCACTCTTATTAAATCTGTATCACCTCTTTGAATCCAGATATCTTGCCCTGTGCCGAGATCTCTTATATATGAGTTCTATATCTCTTAGTTTCACAAATCACTTGTATGTACGTATATGCAAACCGTGATTAAGAAGACTTGCCCTGCTTCTAAAATTACGTGTTTATATTATTCCTCCTAGACTGTCTTCCTCATATCTTGGAATTTTGCCAAGGCATTTTCTTGTCCTTCTTTTATTTTTCATATGCCTCTCTATTATGTTTGCTTTTGTCATAGTTTATTCTTCACTCGCCCTTTATAAAGCTCTAAATCTTTTATTTTCTTTCTTCATATATATTATTTGTTCCTTAGTCTCATCAACTTCTTCCACTCCATTCCCTTAGTTCCAAACCTTAGACAACATTTCCCCTATTCATCTACTTGTACCATCTTAACTCTCAGAAAATTATCCGCTTTACTTTCGTAAAATTTTCTATATTTATTAGGCCCATTCTTTTGCGCCATTTATATTATCCTTGAGGCACTGATGGACCGCCTTTAATTCATACTTTTTTATGTTATGCACATTTCTGGACAAATAGGGATCAAAAACCTTCACTATAATTCATCTTTAGTAACTGAGCCTTACTTCTATTTTCTACCTTAGTGCACTTTTTGACACTGCAATGGGCATGTCCCATCCCTGCCTAAAGAGGAGTAGATACGAAGAGAAACTGGATTTCTATGAATCTCTTGAGACAACATTGTTAGAGGAACTTTCATTTCGTATGAAAGTGAATAAAGAAGAGATTCGTTGATAGATCTCACTAGATGAGGACGGATAAATCTCGTTATACTGTAGCCGTTTGGCTTTTTTTATATTCATGTTAACGCAGTCCATAAGACTTCCTCCCTCGTTTCGGGTAAAAATGTGCTGAGCTTTCGTGCATCATATGATGGACATGATCAGAGCCCCAGTCTTGCTTTTCCTTGTTGGGTTAAACGTTAATGACCCTAGATTGAAAGGTTAGGACAAATGGTTTCGTAACATGATTTTCATGCTTACAAGCTCAATCTTATTATCTCAACCATACTTGCTTACGGAATTATGCAGTCTCGGTCAAGGCTTTCTCCTGGGTCATTAGGTCTTGAGGATCAGAACCTAAGATTAAACCTTTGGCAACTCTGATTTAGGAACCGTATTGCATATAAACATTACTACGCACACCTACACACACGCATACACTCGAGCAAAAGTAACAGGACCAGTATAAAAGATAATTATTTTTCGAATTAAGTATTGTTTTCTTGACTACCAGTAAATCAGTAATATGAAATGTATTCACCCAATTTTATTTAAGGTGATGAAGGACTGGTAGAAGAAGAATTTTCCCACTATGATATGACTTGAGCTGACGTTTAGATTGAATTTCACATAGCCTTGCTCCATCAACAATTCCACCAAATGAATATGATATGTCAAAAAGGCCTGGCCTTCCTTGAAAATTCACATTTACCCTATGACCCAAAAGGTGCTCGTGGCAATGTAGCCTAGTGGTTAGCGTATCAAGCTCCCATTCTGCACTGTCGCAGTTCGACTCCCGCTGAGGGTGTTGATAAGATTGATGCGAGGTCGAAAGTGCAGTCCACCCTGGATGAGAAAAACTTTTGGGAAAGCGAGGTTATGTGAAATTCAATGGAAACGTCAGCTCAATGGGAAAATTCGTCTTCTACCAGTCTTCATCACCTTAAAACGAAATAGGGTGAAGTATCTCATATTACTGATTTACTGGTAATGACAAAAACAATACTTAATTCTAAATAAGAAGTAAGATAGCGCCGGATAGTGTTCCTGCCCTAGTGTTAACATGAGACTTTTACAAGAATGAAACTCAGCTCTGATGATTTCCATCATATGATGGACGAAAGCTCAGCACGTTTTCACCCGAAACGAGGGAGGACATTTCGTGGACTGCGTCAACATTAATATCGTATAAAGCCAAACGGCTGCGGTATAACGAGATTTATCCGTCCTCATCTGGTGAGATCAACCAACTAATCTCTTATTGAATTTTTTTCATCCGCTTATTTTAGAGCATTATTTTTCCCCAAACTTGCCTTAGATCTTTGGTTCCATGACTGGTCTGGATCGTCATTTGAGGCGTATCTATTAGCATTCCATGCGCCAAGGCCTTATGAAAACTTTTTACCATGTATATAGCTGGCCTATGGGCGAGGCAGAGCTTGATTATTCATTGACAGGCCCACGGCTTTACTGATATCGTTGACCTTTCTACTTTGATGTGCAGTTATACAGTCTACCTCGGCTGGCCAATCGAGCAATAATTCTGCAACCAAATGAATGCTTAACAGGGAAAAAATTTCTGAAATGCTAGTTCATTCAAATTCAGCATGTCATATTCCTTTCTTTCCTGTCATCTTTTAGTCTTTTGTCAGCCTCCCTAGATCATCTGTTTTAATCCTGCTTTCATGAGAAACTACATTTATGTCCTTTGCCATACTTACATTGGCCTTCTCCGGTGCCTATCCTTGTTATCTCTGATCTCTTTAATACTAGGTAGACTTATAGTTAAGGACATCAACACAAAACAATTATTTATCTCGAAACTCTACTCAAATACGAAAATTATTTATCTTACCACTGTTTTATTTTTTGCTAACCCCTCTACGCCACTAGTTCTCCCACTTCCCAGAATCTATTTTGCAGATTTCGCTACTCATCTTCCTTGATCTCTCTAGCAACCAATTGACCAGTCTTCCTAGAGCCGTGACCGAGCTTAGATCGCTCCAGGCCCTGATGCTGACTGACAATAGGCTGGAGGAGCTGCCTGACGGCATGGAGTCATTGCAACAGCTACGAGTGCTTTGGCTAGGCAACAACTTGCTCACCCAACTCCCCAGTGGGCTATCTCAGCTACAACAACTTAATTGGGCAGCTCATACATGCCCCAGGGCCACGCTGGACGGAAACCCACTTCGGCATCCACCTCTAGAGGTTAACAAATTTTTTAGCATCGCCACTCCTATATCTAGATCAATCTATTTGCATACAGGTATATGGGCCAATATACTGCCTTAAGAAGCTCAAAATTATTAAAATGAACCTGCTAACAAAGTACGCTTGCTTCTATAGGCTAATTATAGTGATACTAAGGAGATACTATACCACCCACCATCGAACACACAGCCATCAATCATAAAAAATGAGCGAGCAAATTAGATTTTGGAATACCTTTCATTTCATTTGAAGAGACAAGTGGAAGGGATTACCGAAAGCTGTGATTGTAGATTTATGCGAATAGGTCCTCGGCCCATCGCCCTGCGACCCCGATGAATCCTTGCTGAGCTTTCGGTCGTCATGTAATGGACATCCGCAGAGCGGGCATCGTGCTTAACGGTAATTCACCAAAAACACAAAGACAAGAAAAGTGGCCGGCTTCAAACCAGCCTACGTCTTATAGTCAGATTTGGTCTATTCGCTTAGGCATCCCAGGTTTTGGTTGGATATCCTGTTTTGCCTAAATGTTTGCTTAAAAGTTAAGTGGCTGCGGATGAAGCTTGAAACGAGTGCAATTGTAACCGAACAGCTGCATCCTCCCCTAAAACACGTATGCCTTTGATCCTGCGATGTTACCGTATGTGATTGTGTTCCATTGCACGCGTGCTGCATGAATGTATTACTCTTCAAATAGGTGTGATGTGAAAGTCAAAACCAGATTCATGCCTAATCAAGCCTCCTCTTGTCTGGTAGTACTTCTCGTTCTTCTCCCTTTCTATCTCTCTCCAACCCTATTCAACAGCCACGAGAAGTTTTCACTTAACTTCCTACACTCATTCCTTCCATTCAGGGTGTTGGCTGCTTTGTTGATTTCTACCGCCTCCCTAATCTTTCGCCAACTGTTATAGTCCCCATGTCCAGCTAAGCGTTTGGCATTAGACCAATTTATCTGGTATCCTGTGTGTGCCATGCGCTCAGCCAATTCCGTTTTTTGGATCCCAAAACCTCGGCAGGCTGTTCTGTGTTCGGATAGCCTCTTATGTACGTGCCTACAGGTCTCTTCCACATTGGCACTACCACATGAACACAAGATTTTGTAAAGGCCCTATCTTTAGAGAGGGTTTGAATATTCTCGAAAAGAAGGCAATACCGAGGACAGGGTTATTTTCTTTTTATACATGGCCCTGATGTCCCACCTATACGTAGCCATCAATCATGAAAAAATGAGCGAGAAAATTAGAACATTATCGGATTGAGCCGAGAGAAATCAACAAACTGTGGCTTGTTTTGCATTCGGACTGGGCTTTTCCAATCAGTACTAACGTTAACTATAGACGGAGTTAAGGCTTTTCTTTAACAAGAAAAGCCACGCTTATTTCCGTACAAATTAGCGCACCAGCAATATGAAGATATACTCTCACTTGCACACGCACTAATCAGTGAGTGGATACCTACAAATATTTGAGCATTTATATGTTCAAAGAAACAAGGTGATCAGGTATTTTATTGTTGCGGCTATCGGGGCTATGATCGTATGATTCATCACATTGGTTTGGCTTTCTACGGGCTGATAGCAATTATATCCACGATAAGTGTATGGCTTAGTGTGACATGACTCTTCATTTTGCTGGAAAAGTTGTTTGTAAGGAATTTTTCGATCCATTTTACCGGAAATTGAAGGAGGCGCAAAGAAAACATTGCAAATTTGCACTCACTATTTGGATTCAAGACGAGACTATAGGAGTGGTAGTTGAATTTTTTCGTAATGATATGCGTGGACCTTACGTTTCCATTTGATTTTCATGTTTTTCCTAAAGGTATTCTAATCTAGGGTGGATTGCAGTCTCTTTCTCTCTAAGGTCAAATCAACCCCACGCCCCTAGCGGCACTCGAACCCAGCTAGGGATGTTTATTAGACCCAGGCCAGTTCGAGACTGTAGTACACTCTCAATAAGAATACCTTTTGGGAAAGCAAGAAAATTCAATGAAAAATAATGTCTACTTATAAGAGTCCCCTTAACCTCTCATATAAGATCAACTGTTAACCTCGAAAACCTACTTATAAAACAAAAACAGAGAATAGCTTATGCCAGAAAGTAGTAAATCTGTAAAAAAGACTTTCAAATGCTTTCACTGAGAGATTCTATCTAAGGGTCTTAACTTCGCTTTGCTGGGAAGTAAGACTTCCAGAGAATAAATTATTGGTAGCACCTATAAGTTTAACAGATGATATATGCGAAGAAAAGTTGGGTATCGAGGAATCTCTTGTTTCATAATTGTTGAGCTTACTTCCAGTGTTGGGTGAAGAGATTCGAAGGTCGGTTCCACCAAAAGACGACGGCGGA